TGAGTAATACTCCACTGTATGAGCCTTGGTGTTTTTTACCTTTTAAGGAGTTTTGTTTATTTCACCTACATTGATAAGCTTCCAGTCCTAAAGTAGTATCTCTTTATTATGCTTTTAATATCTGTAGACTTTGTAGTGATGTCAACTTTCCCATTCCTCATATTAATTTATATCTTCTCTTTCTCTCCTTTCTCGCTAATCCATCTGACTAGAGATTTATCAGTTTTGTGGATCTCATTTTTTATTGTTTTATTAAACCCTAAAGCATTAATGAAACAACACAGTGAAGAGTTATTGCTAATAAGTCAACAAAGAAAAAAATGGATCATAAAATACATGAAATGATACTTTTGTCATGGTCTTAATTTGCAGTATCCTAACAATGTTAAGCATATTTTCATATGCATACATTTGTGTATCTTCTTTGGGGAAAATGTCTATTCAGAGCCTTTGTACATTTTTTTCAATAGAGTTACTTGTCTTTATTATTATACAGAGTTGTAAAGGTTGTTTTGTTTTGTTTTGTGAAATGGAGTCTCACTGTGTAGTCCACACTGGGCTTGAACTCACTATGTTGCCCTAGGTTGCTTTCAAACTCTCAGTCGTTCTGCCTCAGCCTCTGAAGCACTGGCATTACAGGTATGCACCACCACAGCTGGCACAAAAGTTCTTTCTGTATAGCAGTCCCCTATGAGATACATTGTTTATACATCATTTCTCCTCATTCTCTGTGTTGTCTTTCTACTTTCTTGAAGCTCAGTAGTTTTTTATTCCAATTTATGTAGTTTTTTTTTTTTTCTTTTGTGGCTTACCTTCACTCTGCTTTTATGTATTCTTAAGAAATCATTGCAAAAAAAAAAAAAAATTGTTGCTTAAGCCCGGCGTGGTGGTGTATGCCCGTAATCCCAGCACTCCGGAGGCTGAGGCAGGAGGATCGTTGTAAGTTTGAGGCCAGCCTGGGCTACAAAGTGAGCTCAAGACCAACCTGAACTGCATAGCGAGACCCTGTCTCAATTAAGACAAAAAAAAAAAAAAATTTCTGACTATAGAATTCCAGATTAACTAATCTTTTTCAGTACTTTAAAGATGTTATTTCATGGTGCATGCCTATAATCATGGCACTCCTATGGCTGAGGCAGGATGGTCACAAGCTTGAGAGCCTGGATTACATAAGCAAGACCCTGTCTCAAAACAGACAGACAAAAAGTGTTGTCCCACCGTAGCTTTACTTGTTGTTACAGTGAGGAATCTGATGTCATACTTTCCTTTGCCCCTCTGTATATAACATGTTTCCTCCCTGAGGCTAGCTTTAAGATTTCCCTGCTATCACTAGTTTTGAGCAATTCAGTTATGATGTGCTTTAGTGTAATGTTCTTCACAGTTCCTATGCTTGGAGTTTGTTGAATTTCTTGGGTATATAGATTGGCATGTTTGTTAAGAAAATTACTAGAAATTTTTCTTCCTGTTTGCTCCTTTCTTCCTATTTTCCCCACTGCTCCAGCTTCCTGTTAGGCTGCTTGAGGTGGCCCACTGCCCTCTGATGCTCTTATTGCTGTAATGTTTTCCTCTGCTTCGTTTTGGATAATTTCCTCAGGTTAACTTAATTCCCTGTGTGGCCGTGTGTAATTTGCTATTAATTCTGTCATTGGATCTGTCATTTTATACATTGTAGTTTTTGAGCTAGAAGTTCAATTTGAGTCTTTTTTCCTATTTCGTATGTCTCTGTGTTTTTAATATAAGGAACACAGTTATAACTTTTAAGATCCTTATTTGCTAATTTGTTCATTTTTGTCCGTTTTTAATCAGTGTCAGTTGGTTGATTTAACTCTTCATTATACATCATACTGAGCCAGGTGTGGTGGCGCATGCCTGCAATCCCAGTACTCGGGAGGCTGAGGCAGGAGGATCATTGTGAGTTTGAGGCCAGCCTGGGCTACAAAGTGAGCTCAAGGCCAGCCTGAACTGCATAGTGAGACCCTTTCTCAAAAAAAAAAAAAAAAAAAAGTTGTCCCATACATAATACTTTACTGCTACTTTGTATGCCTCATAATTTTTGTTTGTATAACTAGGTGTTATGAACTTTACCTGGTTGAATGCTAGCTAATTTGTATTCCTGTAAGTATCTTTGAGCTTTGTCCTGGAACATAGTATTTTGGGAACAGTTTGATCCTTTTAGGTCTCACTTTTAAAATTAGTCGATTTGACCAGAGCAAAGCTTGGTTTAGTGTTAATTATTCCCCACTACTGAAGCAAGGGAACTGTAACAGGCATTCCATGGGTCCAGCTAGAGAGTGGGGGCTGTTTTGTTTTTATTTTGTTTTGTTTTGGTACCAGGAATCAAACTCAGGACCTTGTGCTTGCCAAATAGGCACTGTGCTGCTGAGCTAAGAGTCTTACCTTGAAAATTAAAACAAAAAAAATCAAATCTATAAGAATGTTACAATGAAGTATTTTTATTTTCCTAGATTTGGAGAAAGGCCTTTCTAAGCAAGACATAAAATTTGGAAACCCTAAAAGAAACAGTTCTCAGATTTGATTACACAAAGATTAAAATTGTCTGAGTATCAAAGCAAAAGGAAATCACAGACTTGGAGAAACACCATATTTTAAGAGGGGGAAAGAAATTAAGGTCTATCGTACGTAAAAAGTAAGCCAGGCATGATGATGCATGCCTGTAATCCCAGCACAAGGGAGGGTTACAAGTTCAAGGCCACCTAGGCAATTTAGCCAGACCCTGTCTCAACAATAAAAAATAAAAAGGGCTGGAGCATACTTCAGTGGTATAGCATCTTTGACCCTTAGTACTACAGCAAAGAAAAAGCAACAAACCTTTCTTTATTTATGAGAAAAAGGTAAATAAAAACTAAGAACAGGCAATTTTTTTTTTGAGACAGTCTCACCATGCAGTTCAGGCTGGTCTTGAACTCACTTTGTAGCCCAGATTGGCCTCAAACCTTAATCACAAAATAATAAGCCCTACTTCTCACTCGTCAGATTTGTAAAGAGTAGAAAAGGTGCTTTTCTGCCTCAGTCCGCCATCGAGTGCGTGCTCCTGCCTCCGAGCCTAACCATGTCTTCTCACAAGACTTTCAGAATCAAACGATTCCTGGCCAAGAAGCAAAAGCAGAATCGTCCCATTCCTCAGTGGATTCAGATGAAGACTGGTAATAAAGTCAGGTACAACTCCAAGGGGAGACACTGGAAGAAGACCAAGCTGGGACTGTAAGGAGTTGCACATGAGCTGCGGCACATTTACCCTCTCGGAGGTCATGAGATGACACCCTCTTTATCATGGTCAAGACAATATCACCGTATCAAGCTTAAAAAATACCATTGGTCGGACAGTGGAATATACTTAATCAGGAATCTTAACTCTTTTTCTGTGATCAGCACTAATAGATCAACAGTAAATATTTGAAACCTTATTAAAAAAAAAAAAAAGAGTAGAAAAGGCTGCTGATGTCCACTATTTTGAGTACATGAGCTTAAGAGTCTAAAGTGGTAGGTGGGGTCTCCTGGATGACAGATTGGTAATATCTAATACAATTTAAATTATATTTCCTGCTTAAGTAATAATTGCAATTCTAGAATTCATTTATTCTATAGAAATATACATGTATATGCACAGAGTTCTGTGACTAAGCTCTGTTTTGTAATAAAGAAAACAAGAACCAATCTAAGCCAGATGTGCTGGCATCGTCCTGCAGTTCCAGCACTTGAGAGGCTGAGGTCAGAGGATCACTCGGGCTTAGGAGCCTGAGAACAGCCCTGGCAACACAGCAAGACCCTGCCTCTAGGAAAAGGGAAACAGTCTAATCTCATGTCCGCTAACAGAGGAACAGAAGCTGGGTGTAGTGGCACACTCCTGTAACCTCAGATACTCAGAAGGCTGAGGCAGGAAGATCAAAAGTTCAATGCAGGCTGGGAAATTTAGAGAGAGCCTGTGTTAAAATAAAAACAAGAATGGTAATAATAGCTCAGTGGCAGAGCATTATCAAGTTCCTAGGTTAAATCCCCAATACTGCAAATGATAGTCAATAAAAGGGGAATAGATAAGTAAATCATGGTCCTTTGCTGTGTAGAATGCTGTAGTTTTTTAAAGTACCAGTGTAGCCGGATGTGGTAGCACACACTTGGAGGCTGAGGCAGGGGGATCACAAATTCAAGCCCAGTCTGGGCAACTTAGCCAGTTAGTGAAACCATTTCAAAAAAATATTAAAAAGGGCTGGAGAT